TGGCAGAGTAGTGGGGAACAAAAGAGGATTTAGGAAAAAATTCTTCTTTTCTCTGTACAGAATTATATTATTACAGAATACTCTATACAGAACTGCACTATTTGCAACAAAATATCGAATCTTCCCAACACTACTGCTGAGTAAAGGCATAACACTGTAAATCAGAATCACTGTTCTGGGCATGATTCTCTCTCTCTGGCAGTTGTATCTACTTTCAATGCAGAATTGAAGGCTGCCTGTAGTTCTTTTTACAAGGTAGTCATCTCCTGTTACTAGATGTATATCTAAGTTAAACTAAGACCTTTATGAAAAGTAAGCATTTAGGCAAAACCAAGAGGTTTAGATTCAAAGCAAGAGACGCTGATCCTATGATAATATTCAGTTAAAACAAATTGATTTCATTTATGGTAAACTAGCGTATTTACTTGACGTTGTTTGGGTCCTTAGAAGTGACTTAGGGTAGGCGGCAAAGGAAGAGGGGTGCAGAAGTCAGAGTTGGGGGGGGTAAAGAGGGTGAGCAGGGGGACTAAGTGTTGTGGGGGAGGTGCATACGGGGCAGGGAGGCTGATCTTTAATGAACAGCTGAAATTTTCTCTTGAATATTTTCTTATTTTTCAGAGAGGTATCAGACCTATAAAGTACTCAATAAAAAAGGAAATTCAGACAGTAGTTACATTTCTGATTGTTTTAAAGAATGCACACATTGTATGTACCACCAACCCAGATGATAACTTAAAAGTATAGTGTTTTGTTTAAAAAAATGCACACTATTCTTTCAGAAATATGCAGATTTCTGACTGATGTTTTTTGAATTTTAACTCTTATTAGTAAGTCTGTCAAGCGATTAAAAAATGTAATTGTGATTAATCGTGTGATTAATCACGTGCACTGCCCCTTTGAAACGCTGAGGCGGCATTTCAAAGAGGCAGCGCTACGGAAGCCCGGGATCATTAGGAGCCTGGGATCAGCTAGAGTTCCCAGCTGACTCTGGGCTCCATGAAGCACTGCCCCTTTAAAGCACTCCAGCTGATCCCACTCCCACTTTGAAGCACTCCAGCTGATCCATGTTGCGCTGCCCCTTGGAAATCCCACCCTGGTTCCTCAAAGGGGCAGTGCACTAGGAGCGTGAAATCAGCTGGAGTGTCCAGCTGATCTCCAGCTCCGTGTTGTGCTCCCCCTGTGAAGTGCTGCTCTGGCGCATCAAAGGGGCATTGAAGCACTCCAGCTGATCCCAGGCTCCTAAAGTGCTGCCCCTTTCAGGTGCCGGAGAGGCACCTCAAAGGGGCAGTGCAGCATTAACGCCTGCAATTAATATGCTAAAAAAATTAATGCATTAATCCTGCCCTGCTTTAATCGCAGGCGTTAACTCACATCAATTGACAGCCCTATTTAAGAGTCAGTTATGCAATTAATGATACATCATGGCTGACAAAAAATAGAGCTGTATAAAATAATAGAGATACTGAATTTCTACCATTCTTTTATATCTCATATATCCAAATTCGCTGCATGTCAACACAAGTTCACTCACACAGATCTTATTTCAAGATCAGGGCCTTAGATTATCAACTCTTTATGGTAAGGGGCATGCTTTTGTATGTGTTTGTACATCACCTAGCACAACAGCACTCCCATCCTTATTAGGACCTGGTATAACAGAAGTATACAGTTACTTTAAAATGTGTAAACATTGGTTAGGTGATTAATCAATGCTTTTTTCTGGTTAGCTCAGTTATTTATTCTTTCTTTATGTTGTTCGCTTGTTTGTTTTAAAAAAGACCAAAAATAGCAATCTTAACAAGGGAGACTAGAGATGTATTCAACCTAGGATCTGTTTCTGCTCCCACTGCTGTTAATGGCAAGACTCCTGGTATGGCAGGATCAAGTCCTTAGTAGGGCAGGTTCAAACCCTTACTGAACAGAATAATTGCACTGCTTACAAAATACACCAGAAGGTTGAAAACCACATATATGTTACCAAAATATTACTACAAACAATTACATCAGGCTCTTATTTCAGCCAAGTTCTCTAGGAAAATTCCTATTGACTCCTTCCTGTATAAAAAATAAACTGATTTTGGCAAACTCTTCCTGACAGTAACCTTTGAGTCTCCCTTTTTGTATCACACTTTCATCTGGATTATACAATTTCAATGAGAATTTTGCCCAAGTGAAAAATTTCAGATTTTGTTTCCAAATGAATAAGCTACAGTTATTAGCTGTCTTCTTTAGTTGTACCATAAATTAGTATAATCTTTGCCCTAAACTAATTATTGATTTTCTGTTTTTCTCCTTTTTCTACTATGAGACAAATGAATTAACCAAGAGCATTTTACTCATACATTCTGGTTTATATGGTATGCAATAGGTATTTCGGTCATATTAAGTTCAGGGAAATGAAAATAGGGTTCAGTGAATTAGGATTTGATCCTGCAAGGCACTGGGAATTCTGGCCACGAGCCAAACCACTAAAACGAGTAGTTAGTTACACTAAAATCAATGAGACTACAAGCATATGTAAATATAATAACCCCCACTATAGGCCAGCATTAAGGAATGAACCTGGAAGACTACAGTACTTATGTATCTACAGGTCAGTACAGGGTTAGTCCATGGTTAGGTGCTTTGCTGGATCAAGGCTGGATTGCTGAGCTCCTTGCAGGATTGAAACCTTAATGCCTTATTCTTTTAATCTGATTATGGAGCTTTCAGTGAAAATAAAATAACCGTTGGTTTCTGACAAAATTATAATGGGTAGTAGCTTACTTTTATTAGTCAATCAATCTTACTATACTAAACTCTGTGAGTCAGTATCCCTTTAGCAATACTGCACTTTCACGTGGATCACATTGGCGCCAACAAAAGAGCAACAAGTAAAATATGTTTCTATGCCAACATATAAATCATTATATGGTTTTAATAATGTGATTTTATTTTCCAAATCTAAGGCAGCTAAATCTATCTAAACCACATGGAGTGCTGTTTTCTGGTCAAAACAAAAGAATAATTGTCCCATAATTATATTCAAAGTATTTTGCTACAAGTAAATGCTACTGGCAACAGAATATACTAAAACGTTCCAAACTTAAAGCAGTGTAGCAGTATTTCCAAATTATTCAGCTAGAGTCTCTAGAATGAAAACATAATTTGGTGCTTTTAATGTTTCTACATTTTGTACAGAGTATTTCAGAAACAAAAAGGACATTTGATTTTTTTTTCCTTTTTAGGTATTTACATGGCTCCCATCACTGTATAGGAGTGCCTTTTATTTACAGCAAAATAAGAGAACAATCACTTCTGTATCAATCTAGAATTAAGGAAAATCACAAAATAGAAAACCTATAATGATAGAATTGTATTGAACCACATAGTCCTCATCCTTTAGGAGCACAGCAATAAAATACACGCCTATCTCATGTTGCAACTGGTTGTTTAGCCACTGGTGTTATACCAAAAGAACAAACTACGGGAAATATCCCTTCTTCATGTAGTAAAGACGCTTATTTTGTATATTTAACTATTGAATAAAATATACTTTCCCAAAAACTTAAATGAATATAGAATAATTCTGCATCACTAACACATTGCGTGATACTAGATTAATGAAAAAAATAACTTATTTAAACCTAAAAGACTGGCTAGATAAGTTGTTTTCAATTCTGCAGAACAACATATGGCTTGAAATCTATATAACTATTGTTAGTTATTGTGCCTAGGAAGAAATGTAAAGTGTTTACTAACCCTCTAAACTGCAGCTGTCCTCTCCTTTAGGAGCATACTGTTACTAATAAGCTTCTGTCCACTTGATGAATGATTGAGTGGTGAGTTATGTATCGTTGTGAGGTAACAGTACAGTCCCCTTGGTAGTTTTCACTGGTGTCTCACCAATAATCAGGACAGCACCATTTCTGTCAAAGCAAACATAAAGCTAAACACAAATCGAAGATCTATATAAAAAAACACGCGCAGGCAAATGAGACTTGGGGGAAAGCACAATCGTTTTCCTTCCACTCCTCACTAGCGACTCCTTGCAAGGAGCCGATCCCAGCCTGGGAAGTATTTCAGACTTGAGAGACCACAACAAAAGTGCGTGGAGCAGCTGCAACGAGACTAGCAGCCTCCGGCATGCCAAAGGACCTATTTAGGAGGCGGAGAGAGTTATATTTCAGTTTTCCCATCATGCCCCCTCTCCCGGCCCGGGTCAGTGCAGTGGGGCGCAGAGCTGTCCCTCTGCCTAGCTTTCTAGTTTCACAGGTCGCCAGACAAGGAGCTGCGTTGCTCTGCCTGCCTCGAGAGCTATGGTAGGAGTTACCCTCCCGGAGTCACTTCTGTAGGACTGGGGAGGGTGGGGCGTGCGAACAGCTCTGGGGCCGGGGCAGGGGGAGGAGGGAGGTTTAGGATTGGCGCGAAGACCCCACCCTCGTACCTGCAGCGAGTGCGCGAGGTCTCAGCCGCCCCAGGGGCTTCTCCGTCCTCAATCGGAGGCTGCGCGGCGGGACATCGGCCCTCTTCCGACAGGCGGGGGCGGCTCAGTGGGTGGCCGGGCAGCTGATGCGCTGGCCCTTTCCCAGCAGCGTCCTCCGCAGAGCGACTCG